CGCCTCAGCACACAACACAGCGTCTGGGACCCTCCCTTCCCCTCCTCTACCTCAGACCAGCACCCCCGCAGCAGGTGCTGGCCCCGTGCCCATCCCCCTCCTCGCGGTGCCCAGCTACCCTGCTGCCCACCCCGTTCCCGTGGGGTTCGGGGGCGCACAGGGCCCGTTCTCTGTCCCGCTCCACCCCTGCCTGCCTTTGCTCTGTGTCCTCCTGGCCCTGGGCCCGCACTTGGTCTTCCTGTCCCTCTGGAGCCGAGCGCCGCTCTGCCTGTGCCTGGCCCGGCTCCCGTGCTGTCCGTCTCGGATGCTGTGGGTCCTGTGGCCGCCGCTGCCAGGCTCGGCTCTTTTCCCCGCTGGCACCCTCCCCCACTCCTCTCCAATCTGGTCACTCCCGGTTCCATGCTGGAAGTGAGACTGACCCTGATCAAAACACACCCATTTCAGATATCAATGACCCCTCTCCATCAATAACCTCGGAGACAGTGTATGCTTCAATATCTACAGGCATAAGCATCATGAGGTGCATCGAACAGCCAAATACAGCACCCAAAGACCCTTCTCTTGAGCCTCCGAGACAGCAAAAAAACCCAAACCATGTGGCATGGAAGAAAAGAAAGAAAAAGACTGTAATCACAGATGTTCATCAAAGAAAATGTCCCTCCACTACTTCATAAGTGTATAAGACTCCTTGTTCTATATGTGTGAATTTCATGTAAAGATATATACCAACATCCAATTGCTCAAACACACACAAATTTAAAAAAGGCAAAAAAAGCAGCCATAGGTTTTTAACAGCTATTTCTTGTGAGATTTTAAGAATGCTTTCAGTTTTCAAAATTCTGTTATATTCTAACAGCTCAATAGTGACTCCTTTTTATAAGGATAGTTATAAAATCCAAGTAATTTTGTCTTAAGAATAACGAGTCTTTAAAGCTGTTGAAAAGCAAAGATGCAGAAGCCTCTAACAGCCTTACTAATAGATGTGCAGCACTCATGTAGCTAAATACTATTTTGTCTCTCTATGTACTTTGGATATAACGAATCCATGAAATTGAAATTTGCAAATACTCAGTCTTTACTAAATTATTCAGCCTCTTTGAAATCTTACTCCCCACCAGCAAATAAACAGTTCCATGGCCGAAGCACCCTGTGGCTTTGGGGAAGCCTGCTACGCTAGCACCTGACTTTACCATAATTTGTGACCAAAAAATTAAGCACAGCAGATTTGTCCATCAGTTTGAATCTGACTGCAAAACCAAAATTGACTTTTGAGGTAGAAAAAAGAAAATAGCACCCTCAGTATTGGCCTCTGGGGTTGCTCCTACAAAAACTCAATAAATGCTAAGAGAATTAAAGGTGCTAGCTAAGTAAGCAAAACAATGCTACACCCTAAACATTGAGTAAGCTGCTAACAAATGCTAATAACACCATGCATGTATCATTATAAAACCAAGCAGCAATAGACTTTTCACCGCTCGCCCTTGGACATAGTTGCCAAAACTTTGAAAATATGTACTGCTTTAACCTTTCTTCATACTTGTGAAAAACGCATATTTTATGATTGGCTTTTTGCAAATATTGAAATGAGTATTATATCTATTATGTTAGAAAGTTATGCTGTATTAATTTTCTCAAGTAGTATGTTAAATATAGTTTTAGGTTATAACATAATGTTAAAATAGAAACTATGCTATGAATGATACTTTTTTAAAGAAAGGACTTGCACGGAAGTAGCAGCCACTGGACACCTAAATCTTTCAGATAAAAAGAATTTATTGCTCTCTTATCAGAAGAAACTAACTTCTTCCCGTCTCGCTCAGCCTTGAAGATGCTGTTAGGATTAAGAGGAAGAAGCTGACATGGACCAGACAGAGTCATGTGTTTGAATGGAATTTATGCATCATGTATGAGATGTATGAATATGCAACTGGCTACTGTTTTCAAGGGTTAATCCTCTGTTAACGGGTGTCCTTTTTTGGGCTTATTTTGCCCAGAAAAAGGTACCCAGAAGTCCGTAACTCTTTGTTTTTATTGTCTCATACTGTCCTAATCCAAATTGTCCAAATTATTATTACTGTAATTATATTGCTATTTTTATAACCATTTTATTATTATTAAAAGTTTAAAATTTTAAAAACGATTGGCATTTTTCACATACTCGGCATCTATCCACGCAAACATCCAGAAGCTGAAGGAGCTAGTAAAGTTAAGAAGAACTCTGTTTACATCATTTTATTCAGTTAAAAGTTAAGAAGAACTCCATTTACATCAATGAATTTTTTGGACAATGGGGGTTGACAGGATGGGTTTCATCGTTTGTTAAAGGAATTTGTGGCTTGTAATCATTGTTTTTACTTATGTTTTCCTGTATAGTTAAGTGTTTGCAGAGGTCCAATGGGGAAGTTTTCATAGTAAGAAAAAACAGGGGAGTTGTGGCCTCTCGGGGGAATCCCCAGGGCCTTGCCTTGGAAGAATATATCAGAGAGTTTTGCCCATCTATGCTGCTAGAGGGGACTCAGCCCATGGTGCTCTGCAGCACTACTGCCAATCTACACTAGATTGCCTGTCCCATTGGCCAGTTGACACTGCCCACCCCAATTATTCATCCCTCCTCCCCCTACAGATTGCTGCCCTTTGCTCTGCCCTTTGTCAGCCCCGGTGCCCTCCAGTTACTGGTCACTGACCCCATTCTTAGGTCATGCAGACCACATGGTTTAGTCTTTTGTCTCTGGTCCCTTTGGTGGGGTGAATGCAATAAACCCTTGCTGGAATGTATCATGCAAAGATCCTTCCTGTCTTTCCTCTGCTGAGCTGTCTGTGGCATGTGTGTGTGCATGGACTTGAAATGGCTGCTCTTGTGGCCCTACTCTGAGAGGCTTCTGAAGGAGATGTTTCAAAGAAGGCTGCAGTATTTCTATCACCTTGACATGCTGCAACAGGGAATGGTGTGGTTCTGCCAGCTGGGACTGGGGTCAGACTGCAAGGACAGGCCTGGGGGACTTCTCAAGGCTGAAGAGTTTAGATTTAGGAAGAGGGAGAGGTTCCTTGCAGATGTGATGTGGAAGCAACAGAAACCAGGTCATTCTGTGCTGCTTTTTGGTAACCAAATGGCAGCAATGAAAAGTGAGAAACCTCCTACACCATCCAAAAGATTCAGGGGCTTTACTCCTTACAAGTGAGACCTGTTCTGGGCAAAAGCCCCTGGGTGTTGGTGTGAGCAAAGAAAACAACTTGCTTGTGAAGTTTGGAATCAGGGTCTGTAGTCTTCATATTAGATATCCTGGAAAGGCTGCTACTTACACAAAAAAAAATTTAATTTCAATGCTTGTATAACTGCCCAGATTTTAAAATTCTGTTTAAAGAAGTGTAATATGTAATGTAAAGTAATTCATGCTTAAGGGGAAGATGTATAAAATAAAAATTGTAAAATTAATTAAACATCCAACAAGCCTCTGACCATGGACAACCTGGAGACAGATTACCACACTGGAATTACGAAACTCCTGGTGGCTGCAGGAGAAGAATGCCTCGTTAACTAATAAAAGAACATGGCTGGCATGGAGATCAAGATACCTGAAGTCCTCGAGAAACATACATCTGAATACACGACACCCCCTGACATGATCAGTACCTGCCATAACCCAGGAAACAGCAATTGTCCAGCCCTGCACAGTGAAAGAAACGTTCATACATAAGCAGGGTTACAAAAGAAATTGGGGCACCTCTGCCTCAGGCATAAAAAACTGTATAAAATAGCCTTGCTGGAGACGGCATTTGTGAGGAGCGGGAGATCTGATGAGATAGAGGTCGGATTGAGGTTCACCCAGAGCTGATCCTGGGCTCGACGCTGTCTCTTTGGCTGTGGGTTTTGAGGACCATAACATGGTCGCGAAAATAAAATCTTTCGCATTTATTAATTTGGCTTTTTGTTGATCTTTTATAACAGAAGCTAACTTGTTTGACGAGGCAGAAAAGTTACTAATATAGTAGTTACATTCCTGGACTGTGCATGTACTTGCCCTCTTCCATCTCTGTCAAATAAAAGTTCTGGATAGATTGATTTTGGGCTGCTGGCATGAAAACCAGCAAAATAATATTTCTGTAGAATGTAGCCTCTTCTGCTTTAAGTTCTGCAACTTTGTGCTGATTAAAATAGAGGTGGGATCTTAATGGAAACATTTTACAGAAGTTCTGGCCCAAAATGTTTGCAAGTTGAGTTTAAATTTAGGTACAAATTCAAACACAATGCTTGATTTTCAGAATTTATCCTACATTTTACATAGCTAAACACTTAAAGATATTTGAAGGAACATAATTTTAGATCTGTAACACATGAAAATGTTGCCTGCAGTATTTTTTTCCTGACGATCAGAGGTAGAGTCAATGATATCTACAGGAATTGCACGAGATGGTATTTACTTACTTGAATCTGTTTTAAATCTCACCTACAGTCTGCTTCAGTAATACTGTGCATGTATCAGATTAATTTAGCCTGTATATTTAATCAATGTACATCTTTAGCAGCTACAGCTTCTTCTGGCAGCGTTTCACTTGCTTTTTTTAACCTGGCTCCTATTGCCTTTATTTGATACTCCCTCATTTTTCTTCTGTGGGAAAGTGAGCCTTATCCCGCTTCTCAATGTCACTTGTGATATTTCCAGAGCTCTGTCAGGTTGTTTCCCTGCTCTGATCACCTCCCCCTTGGACTGCTCAGTCCCACTTTACTGAATGGAAAATCCACAGCCTCCACACTTGTACTTCTATTGGGAAGGATTTACATGCAGCTGACTATGCTTTGATAAAGGAAACTACTACTGATGTTGAAGTCTATTTTGGCCATATTGTTAGTGACTTTTAACAGCTGCACTTCATAGGTGACTGTTTATGTTGTCTGCATTGATAATTTTTCATTTTATTAACCACTTTGCTCCCCTTGAGGTGTCTCAGCTTCTCCTGGGTGAGTGTCCACAGCCACATCTTTAGTTTCCTTTACTTGCTAGGACTGTTCTCCATATGCTGCACATCTCTATGATGCAGAAAACCTATGGACCCCGCTGAGAAGCCTACCAGTGTTGCAGACATTTTTTCACAGAAATCCTTTCTTTCAGATTTCTGCATTTTCTGGGAGGCCAGAGGCCCCAGAAGATGAATGTAAACAGTTGTTATCAGCTGCTGTGGAATGTAACAGGGACACCTTGATTGGCTCATGTTTGTATGTTTATAATTGAGGGCCAATCACAAGAGCAAGCCAGGGGACCGAGTCCCTGGGCACAACTTTGTTTTGGATTCTTTTTTTTCTATTCTTGGGTTAGCAAGCATCTGCAACTTCTCTCTTTATTCTATTTAGTACAGTTATAATGTATTATATATCATATATCAATAAATCCAGCCTTCTGATCAAGAAACAAGATTCACCGTCTCTCTCTCACCAGCAGCGACCCACTCAGGCGCTGTAACATCTGGTGACCCCTCGTGTCAGAGCAAAAATTAATTTGATAAGACCAGAGGAGCAAAATTGCTGCACTGGGTAAAAATCCTGTATGTGTAGCATTTGATGGTTGCTTTGAAGCGACCACAGAAGTGGACTCAAGCCAGGAGCTGAAGAACTGAAGATCCTGATTTGGACAGAGCTCACAGCCAAGGCTAACCACAACAGAACCTTCTTCTGGAAAACCATCAGGAAAGATGATGGAAAAGAGCAGCAGACCCGTGGAGCTGGCCAGAGCAAGCTGGACTCTTTCAAAAGGTACTGTGGGCTTTTCTATCCCTGATGAACCAGCCCTTCGTAGCTTGTGGCTGTTTGTATGGCAGACACATGCCTTGCCAGAAGAGATTCAATTCTCCCCTTCGGAGGAGAAGCTCATTGCCCTCTGGCAACATTGGTGCAGAGAAGATGGTTGCTTTTTGTCAGAAACAGATCTCTATAAATTCTTTAGATGGGCAAAGCTTTTTGGGTTCTTTACTGATGTCCTGTACGCTTTAGATGCTTTTGTCTGGGAGTGCATGGACTCCATTTTCCAGTTCGTCTGGAGCCAGGGACGTGTCCTGCCTTCTATCTACCCAGCATTTATACAGCTTTTCCCACTTCTGAAACGCAGAGCAGCTTGTTTTCAATGGATTTCTAACTGTTATGGCCAGGCACCGTTTCCCCCCCCCTTGGCAGAAGACCCGGTGGGTGATGACTTTGGGCTTTTCCCCCGCCCTGCTTCGCGGCGGGGGGGGCTGAAACTTCGCTGGGCGAAGAAGTTTTTTTTACTCTTGCTCCGGAGCATGCTCAGATGGAGTTTTCTCCGTCCCCCCCTTCTCTCTCTCCGGGGGGATGGGAGTGGCCGCTCAAGCCAGCGCCGGCCTCTCAGACTCCGCCTTCAGACATGGGGGCGGCACCGGTCTCTGAGGTTTCTCCGGTCCTGCCAGAGCCGTCACTCCAGGAGATCCCGTCTCCGCCTCTCCAGGCTGTCCCGCCCGCGGTTTCACCGGCCTCCCCGCCCCCTGAGCTGTTGCTAGGCAACGACGAGGATGCGTCTCCAGCTTCCGGCTCAGCGTCGGAGAAGGCAGAAGAGACAGCACTTCCTGTGCTTGAGCTGTTGCTAAACAACAGCGATGCTCCGCCGCTTCTCCCGGCTCCGCTGCTGCCTGTGCCGTGCCTGCCGCCGCTTTCAGAGCCAAGGGACGCAGCAACAGCGTGTTCCCGCGCATCCCCGCCGCCTCAAGGCGAGACAGTTCCTGTTCAGGATGGGGCTGAAAACGGCGTTGAACCTGCGGGACCCTCGGAGCAGCCCGCGGCTGATCCCACTCTCAGCGCGGTTCCCTCCCCAGTTCCGGCCCCCCCCTCGCCGCTCGGACTGGCCGCTCCAGCGGCTCTGGCGTTGTCGGAGGCTCTGTCCTCCGTGTCGGCGTCAGAGACTGCCATGGCACCGGCGGCTGGTTCGAGCCCGGACCGTCCCGGACCGGCTGCCCCAGCAGCTGCCCCGGCCGGGGGTCTCTCCTTCGGTGGAGCGGGGGCTGCCCGCCAGCTGACTCTTGCGGCAGCCCGGCTGCCGGCTTTCAAGCTCGGCGGTTTGGGGGGTGGTGTTTCGGTTGCTGTCCCATGGAGGCTGCTGCCTCTCCTGCGTCCTAGTGGCATGGGGGGGCAGGTGCATCCCGAGAGCCCTGCCTCTGATCCCCAGCCCGGAGGGGATGGGGATGGTGATGCCACGGGGCGGATGAGAGACAAACCCGATGCATTGCAGGGGAAGATGGCACAGCTGGAGGAGACCATAGCTGGTTTGCTGTGGGGAACAAACATCTCCAGACCCCAGATGGGATTTCTGGGGAAGGCTTCTATTTCCTCACTGCTGGCATGCCTCAGTGGTTTTGGGGAAAGGAAGCATCTCACTGCCCGTGCTGCCCTTGTGCTGGCAGCAGGGTTCAGGCCTGCGGGAATGCAGAGCCTCTGTCATGGGTTTGGCCTGGGCCATTGGGCTGAGAAAGTTTCTGGGCCAGGGCCAGCATTTGGCCTCTTGATGTTTCTGGGGATTGAGGTTCCTCCTACTGGACCTGGTCCCCCTTTGTGAGCCAGTTTTGGGGTTCCTGGTCCAGCATGGGCCAGGGCCCCCAGGGCCTTTCCTTCTCTGGCACTGCTCTGCTCGGCTTCTGCTCTTTTGCTCTTCAATCAAAAAAAAAAAAAAAAAAAAAAAAAAAAAAAAATTAAATTAAATAAAAAAGATTGAAAATAGCGGGCAGCAGCTCTGAAGCATTGAAGGGCCAGAAAGGACATTCCACAAACTGTTTAAAATTGTGTTATGACTGTCAATGGTTTTTTGATAACTATTGATGGGATTCCTTTTGCAGCAAGTTGTTTTCAGGACCAAAAAGGACTCTCAGATATTCCAAGGGAAACAACTTCGGCTCTTGGACTGTTCCTGAAACTCAGCTGCATGGACTCAAATTCTCTTTGCATTGTATTTTGCATTTTTCTTATATTGTAGCATTGTTTTAGTGATTTGTTAGTTATTGTATATTCTACAGGTGAAGAAATTTCCTGTTCATTCCACATCAGCATTTTTCTTTTATTTTATACAATTTAGAAAGGTGAGATGTTGCAGACATTTTTTCACAGAAATCCTTTCTTTCAGATTTCTGCATTTTCTGGGAGGCCAGAGGCCCCAGAAGATGAATGTAAACAGTTGTTATCAGCTGCTGTGGAATGTAACAGGGACACCTTGATTGGCTCATGTTTGTATGTTTATAATTGAGGGCCAATCACAAGAGCAAGCCAGGGGACCGAGTCCCTGGGCACAACTTTGTTTTGGATTCTTTCTTTTCTATTCTTGGGTTAGCAAGCATCTGCAACTTCTCTCTTTATTCTATTTAGTACAGTTATAATGTATTATATATCATATATCAATAAATCCAGCCTTCTGATCAAGAAACAAGATTCACCGTCTCTCTCTCACCAGCAGCGACCCACTCAGGCGCTGTAACATACCAGGACTTTGTATTGACTACTGCTACTCTGCCATCCGCCTGCTGACTGGTGACAAGCACATCCAGGAGTGCTGCAAGACGAACAGGACCCACTTCTGCCACCTCCTGCAGCTCCAGGATGAGGACTACTGTTTCCCCCAGGTGCTGCAGAACTTGTTCCTGAGCTGCAGCCTGGGCTTGCTGCTGGAGCAGTGTAGGGGCTGTGTCCAGCTGTGCCTGGCTGAGGTTGCCAGTGGCCTGAGGAACCCGGTGCTGATTGCCCACGCTGCTGACGGGACCCACCGCGCCTTCACAGCCGAGCAGCTGGGCCTCATCCTGGCCTGCCTACCCAATGGCAGCTGGCTGGAGGAGCCATTCCTGGATATTTAGAGCCTGCTGCTGGCTGCCCCATGGCTAGCAGATAAGAGGGGCTTCCACCCCAAGCAGAAGGACAAGGGGGAGTTCTATATCTGTTACTCACACGTGGCTGAGAACCGAGTGGGAAAGATCAGGATCAATTAATTGAAGGTTTTGGCATCTGATGCCAACAAAATTGACCCAAGCTCTGAAAGGTAAAGTTCATGTTGAACGCTACTGTATGCCATGATGAGAAATCGTTTTTCTCTGTCCCTGTTCAACCTCCAGTATCAACACAGGCTGGGTACTGAGAGCAGCCCTGCCAAGAGACACTTGAGGGTGCTAATAGGTGAGAGGCTGGATATAATCCAGCAATGTGAGCTTGCAGCTGAGAAAGCCAAACAAATCCTGTGCCGCATCCAAAGATTTGTGGCAGCAGGCCAAGGGAAGGGATTCTGTTCCTCTGCTCCACGATCAGGAGGTCCCAACTGCAGTACTAGTGATAGCATCTAGCCTAGCCTAGCCTAGCCTAGCCTAGCCTAGCCGAGCATCTAGCCTAGCCTAGCTGAGCATCTAGCCTAGCCTAACCTAGCCTAACCTAGCCTAGCCTAGCATCTAGCCTAGCCTAGCCTAGCCTAACCTAGCCTAGCCTAGCCTAGCCTAGCCTAACCTAGCCTAGCCTAGCCTAGCATCTAGCCTAGCATCTAACCTAGCCTGGCCTAGTCTAGCCTAGCCTAGCCTAGCCTAGCCTAGCCTAGCATCTAGCCTAACGTAGCCTAGCCTGGCCTAGCCTAGCCTGGCCTGGCATCTAGCCTAACGTAGCCTAGCCTGGCCTAGCCTAGCATCCAGCCTAGCCTAGCCCAGCCTAGCCTAGCCTAGCCTAGCATCTAGCCTAACGTAGCCTAGCCTAGCCTAGGCTAGCATCTAGCCTAGCCTAGCCTAGCCTAGTATCTAGCCTAGCATCTAGCCTAGCCTAGCCTAGCCTAGCATCTAGCCTAATGTAGCCTAGCCTAGCCTAGGCTAGCATCTAGCCTAGCCTAGCCTAGCCTAGCCTAGCATGTAGCCTAGCCTGACCTAGCCAAGCATGTAGCCTAGCCTAGCCTAGCCAAGCCTAGCCTAGCCTAGCCAAGCCTAGCATCTAGCCTAGCCTAGCATGTAGCCTAGCCTAGTATAGCCAAGCCTAGCCTAGCCTAGCATCTAGCCTAGCCTAGCCTAGTATCTAACCTAGCTTAGCCTAGCCTAGCCTAGCCTAGCATCTAGCCTAGCTTAGCCTACCCTAGCCTAGCCTAGCATCTAGCCTAGCTTAGCCTAGCCTAGCATCTAGCCTAGCCTAGCCAAGCTAGGCTAGACACAGATCTGTTGGAGAGTTCAGAGGAGGCCACTAAGATGATCAAAGGAATGAAGCACTTCTCCTATGAGGACAGGCTGAGAGAATTGGAAGTGTTCAGCCTAGGAAGAAAATGCTGTGGGGTGACCTCATTGCAGCCTTCCAGTACCTGAAGGGAGCCTACAAGAAAGATGGACAGAGTCCATCTACAGGAGCATGTGGTGACAGGACAAAGGGGAAAGGTTTAGATTAGGTATTATGAAGAGCATGGTGAGGCACTGGCACAGGTTGCCCATAGGAGTTGTGGATGCTCCCTCCCTGGAAGTGTTCAAGGCCAGGACAGATGGAGCTCTGAGCAACCTGGTCTCGTGGAATTTGTCCCTGCCCATGGCACGGGGTTGGAACTTGATGATTTTTAAATCTTCTCCAACTCAAGTCAGTCTGCGATGGTATGATGCTTTCCGCTGGCAGAACCTGTGCATTCCCGGTCATTCTGGTTCAGGTGTGTGGCTGGCCTGCTATGGAGCTACCAGATTCAGGTTGGCTCAAGGTCACACCGAAAACTAAAATGGATTGAAAAGACTCAGGAATAAGGTTGTCTTCTCTCTCCATCTTGTACTCTTGTCTTCTAAAGAGTAGTAACAGCCTTTAATCTATTATGGAATTAACATCTGCCCTATGAGGTTTGTACTGTAGAAGAAGGTGTTTAACGACAGTACTATACTCTTATTTATCAGTCATGTGGGCACCTGCCCTGTCCTGTGCTAAGATAAAAGCTGGTTCTTACTTCTTACTTTTTTTTTTTTTTTTTTTTTTTTTTTTTTCATTTTTTAAAGGATTCTCCTGGAGCTTGAGGAACCAGCTGCAAAGAGACCCTTTTGGAAAATATGGGAATACTCAGAACAAGTAAGTAGGAGGGCAGGTGAAAGCTTGAAAGCTTTGAGCATGTTCACCAAGATACAAGGTTCGGAAAGGAGAAAATGTGGAAGAATAGAGTAAGAGTACTTCCTGAAAATGCTTGTGCATCTGCAAGTCTGTCCAAAGCAGTATTTCAAAAATGAACACTTGTCAAGTTGTTTAGAGCAAAGAGAGTTTTCTGGCTTAAGTGGATTGCAAGCCAGATACCAGCCTCTGTTTATTTCTTCTAGGCAGATAACTTTTCCTTTGAAAATGGGCAAGGAGAAGAAGGGAATTTTTGTGTTTTCAGATGGCTCTCATGCTGTAGTTTCTTTTTTCTGCCTTTAGGAGCACTTTGTTGGGGAAAGTGTTGAGGATTGATGTGGATGGAAGAAACCCTGATGGAAAGCCTTACCACATCCCTTCTGATAATCCATTCATGTCTGATCCCAAAGCTTGCCCAGGGGTTTATGCCTATGGGGTCAGGAATATGGTGCTGTGCAATGGACAGAGGGGACCCTATCACAAAAAAAGGAAGAGGGAGGATATTCTGTGGGGATGTCGGGTAGAACAGGTTTGAGGAAATCAGCCTCAACCTCATTGTTAAAGGAGGGAATTATGGCTGGAGAGCAAAGGAGGGGTTTGAATGCTACAACACAAAGCTTTGCTACAATTCCTCCATGGGCAAGGAAAAAACTTTCTTGTAGAAGATTACTATATGTGTATATTTAGTGGACTATAGCACTGTTTCCCCAGCAAAGCTAAATAATCCAGTGTTGTATATTAAATGGAATTTGTCTGCTTTTTAAGACCAGAAATCCCTTTTCCCCAGCCCTGCTGTGTTGCTATGGAATGATGCTCTCATGACTGCACTGGACAAGGTGTTTAAATTCAAAGCCTGTGTCTTTTGTGGACAGTTTTCCCAGTAAAGCCAGGAGGACAATGGATTTTATTTAAGTAGAAAGTGATACCGTGTTTTCTCCAGAAGCTCTGAGCCATGACTGTGGCTAAGGACAGAGGGCCAGGCTGATGCTGAGATCCTGAAACAAATCTGTGACAGATGTAGTGTGTCCCAGCCAGCAAAGTGCTGCAGCAGAATGCCCAAAAGCTGTGCTCTGGGTCTGACTGTGGGTGTGATGGACAAAACACACTTGCTGCCTTCAAAAAACAGAAATTGGTGGTCTTTGCAAAGCTCTTGGCAAAAGCATGGTAGAAAAACTGTGTATTATAATAATGATCCTTCAGCTGTTTGGTGAAGACACCTGGTTTCAAGGTCCTGCAGATGTTTCTGGAACATTTGGATGAGCAGACAAGTGTAGAGTATGTATTATTGACATTAATGCAGGGAAAAAAGTGAGGACAAGAATAAAATTCTGTGGAATCTGATAATTCAATATGAGAAAGGACTGAATTCAATTTTAACATTGCCAGAGGCGGAGTCTTTATTTTACAAGTCTCATGACATAAAATGGTGAGAGCACACTCATTTCACACTCATGCTCTGTGTTGTGTCAGTGAACACATGAAGATGTTGAGCTCACTTGCAGTTTTGATCTTTTTCCCTTCTCTAAAAATACTGGAATTGGTAAAGATGATCCCTGCTAAAGTGACTGGTACAGCCACATATAAATTAGATAACACTTGCTGCAGGCTGATGCCTTCCTGCATTGCTTCTTGATGTAGAGAATCTTGGTTTTTGTCTTAAGGAAGCTCATCATGACTAAGCCTTGATAAGCAACTACACAGAGAGGTCCTTAAAGCCCCTGGGTCCGTTCTGTCCCAGAGTAAACTGCTTAATTACCACTGAAATTTCGCTAATGTTAAACTGTATTGGTCCTTCTAGTAATTTTTGTACCTGTCAGTGTCATTGAGCAACTGCTTTTTGATGCTCTCTGAAAGTAAACTTTCTTACTTTGTATTTCTGTGTGTTTGACAGATGACACTCAGCCCATATTTGCATATGGCTGCAGTGTGGACAAGTCAGTTACTGGAGGCTTTGTCTACAGGGGATGTGAATCACCCAACTTGAATGGCCTTTACATTTTTGGTGATTTCCTGAGCAGGTGAGTCTGATTGTTTCCTCTGCAGCTCCCATTCTATACCCACATTTTCCTTGTCTGGGCAAATAAGTATATTGGACCATCCCAAAACCTTTTGGGCTGGAGTAGATGAGAAACTTGGATATAGAGTAAGTTCTGTGTTTGACTATTACAGCAACATTTTTGCTGGAATCTAAACTTCCTCCATTTCAGAATCCTTAGGATAAGTTTGCTCTTGTTCAGGTGTGTTTCTCCAAAATCCAGCCAATCCTCCACAGTCTTCACTGACTGCTTTTTTTGTTTCAGTAATGCATGATTTTGACAGGAACTAATTTGGATGATGGAGACATAAAACACGGGGGTTTATTTTTCATCTAGTCAATTTATGGCTTTACAGGAAGATAAGAAGACAAATAAGTGGAAGAAACAGGATATCTCTGTTGGCAGTACAACATCTTGTGCTTTCCCTGGAATGATCAGTTCCTACAGCAAATTCATCATCTCCTTTGCTGAGGATGAAGCAGGTGGGTATCGTGCTGGCCACACCTTCAATGGAAACTGTACAGTCTGTTCTCTATGTATGGAAAATGTGGGAAATTCTGTGGTTCCTGAGGGGTGCCTGGAGAGCAGGCAGTGCAGAGAGGTTTGTGGCTGGTCTGTGGCTCAGGGAGGTCGCCTGCCCTGTGAAGCTGTTGCAGATCAGGTTGATGAAAAGCTCAGGAAACCGAATCTCATGTGAAACTTTGCTTTTATTGTTGGTCTTTTGTACTATTTTACTAATCAAAAGACCATATCAATGCAGTTAATTTTTTCATTATACCATCCCATCCTCACTTGAGTTCTTAGAGCTTCTCTGAACTTCTCCTGCTTCCTTAGTATAAATTCCTCAGTCTTATTCACAACAATCCACAATTCACACTGTGGATCATAGACCAGGACTTTGCTGGGGATCAGCAAAGCCACTCATTTAAAAGTTTAGTGTAAAGACCTCAGCACATGGGACGCTGCTAAGGTCACAAGGACCAGATCTCCCACCAAGGTGGAAGTACCAATGAACATGAACGTTTGCTTTTCTACAGCTTCCTGACAGAGCTGTGTAATACAAAAAGAAGCTGCAAGTTTTTGGAAAGCACAGGTACGTTTTAGCACTTGATAATTCAGCAGAAAAGAGATTTGCTTGCCAGGAAAAGATCCTAGATTTTCTGCCTAGCATATTCTGTCAGAGCTGCATGGAGATGCAGGCTTTGCTGTGAAATGTGTACAGTTTTTAACTGTTCTAACATATGGAGTGAGTGAATGTGAAATGTTTCTTCTTCTGGTGGCCTTTTAGAAACCAACATGGTGTTATGTAGTTTGAAAGACAACAACAGCTTTGCCTCTTGCAAGATACTCTAATTTCCCTTTCCCCTGGATATTGTTCTAGTGAGTGCTGAAGGGAAGGCACAAGGAGCATTTGTCTTCCACAGTTACCAGACAGAAATGAGAAGCTTCTGTCTCCCACAGATCAATCAATGTAGCTCTTGCTGAATTTTTTCCTTTTTGGTATGATCATGAAATGGAAAATACATTTTTTGTGTGGTCTTCCCCTCTATTTGTAGTTTCTGGCTGCTTCTTTGGTACAAACAAGTTTTAAGAAATATGTATTTATACAAAGGAAAGCAACCTTTACAGAGCCACAGAGGTGAGGTAATAAAGGTGCTGCCTGAAAAGAGCTGCTGGCTCTGTGTGGAACCCTGCTGCAGCCAGGAGGTCATTTGGTGTTTCTGGGAGCCCCCTGGCACAGGGCAGGGTGAGAACAAAGCCATTTCTTGGACATAAGGCATGGCTGAGGGGGTAACTGAAGGAGTTTCCTTTTCTGACGACATGAATTACTGAAAAGCTGAGGAAAGAGGAAAATGGAGAACTGGGATCCAGCTTGGGCACTTGAATCAAAGACCAGTTTTCTTTTTTCACTTCCATTTAGATGAACTGTATTTTATGTCTACTTCTTATCCCAGTGCCTTTACACCACGTGGATCGCTCTACAAGCTCATCGATCCTGCAAGGTTTGTAATTAAAGATGTATTTCCATGCCAAATTCTTCTATAGTTACCACTCTCCAGCTATCACAGTAAAAGAATACCAAGTACTACTGATACAAAATCACTGACATCTGCATCCAGTCCTTGGGTTTTGTTTACACACTACACCTCTGGTGCAACTTTAATCAGTTTGAGTGAATTTGTTCCTCACTCATCATGTCTGTGCACAGAGAAAGAGGAAACAGAGTTCAAATTCCTTGAAGATCCGGGAGAGTTAAGGATTAAAAGAAAGTTTCCTTGGTTGTATATTTGAATTACAGCAAAGCAGTGACTTAAAACGGACAGTCCATATCCTTTAGGTTCATTATATCAAATATCTATGATGCACATTAGTATAAATAAAAAATAAATAGCACTCCACAGTTTTCTTTACAAAGATGAGAGAAACCTGGTGGTTCATGCAGTGCTCAAATAATACTGGACCCTGAACCTGAGTTTTTCCAAGCAAAATGTTTTTCCCCATCAAACAGTTATACCTGCTAAAGTCTGTTTTTTGAAGATTAAGCACACTTATGTATTTTTTTTTTGCCTCCCTAGCTTTCCCATTTTGCTAAAAAACATTAAATGGTTTCAAATAACTTTGTAGAACAGATACAGTACAAGTGTGTTTGTGCTTTTGCAGAGACCTTGGACATTCACAAAATGAAAAAAACAAGCTTTGTTTCCTTGAGAAGTTAGATCCAAAGCTAAGTTGTTAACTCAAACTGTGTACCAAGGTGATGGGAACAGAACGTGAATCTTTTACTGCTCAAGGAGATTTCTGCCTTTAACAGCTTATCATCTGCCAGGAAGTGCATTTTCTGTGAGGGACCAAAAAAAAAAATTATATATATATATGTGACCATGCATAAACATCAAGAGCTTGAACAGGATCTATTTATAAAAACAAATATATCTTTGTTGTCTGTATGCCACTCCTTAATGTGTCAGGAAGACCCTGTGCTTTTGAAGCTTTGTGTCCATCACTTCTAGAACAGGACCAGGCACTTACTCCCTTGGCTCCTAAAATCTTTCCGGGCAATCTTCCCTTGTTTGCCTTAGCCCGGATGGGGCTGTGCCAGCTCTGCCCTGGCCTGTTTGCACTTTGCAGGCGTGCCCGGGCTGTGCAGAGCTCCTTGGAGCCTGAGCAGGCTCTGGAGCACAGTCCTGACACCTCCAGCTCCCAGAGTGACTCTGGTCTCCTCATGAACCTTTCTCCTTTGATTTTACTGCTGTTTGTAGGATTTTTCCTGGGGATAGCTTCTCTGCTGGGCACAGTCTCAGGCAGTGAATCCAGCATTCCCTGCCTCCCACCCACATGGCAGGAAGTGCACTGGCACGGACAGCAAGCCACACAAACTCTTGCTTCCAAAACGTTGCCAGGGCCACTGTCATGTGCCTGATGGCAACTCAGACTTCCCGAGGAACCTGCCAGGAAAGCTGATGGCAGCAGTGCCCTTTGTCCCCACTTTGGCTTGCCTCTGCAGCAGTACTCTTGGAGACAGCAGGGTGGCACCAAACTCCTTCTGTCCTGAGCAGAGAGAAAACGAGTTAGAATGTAATTTTAAAATCAGAGAGGAGAGAGATGAAGGGAAAAAACCCCACAAGCAATACCTGCAACTCTGCTTAAGTAACCTTTTAAAAAAAAATTGAAATGGTGTAGAGGAAGCACTTGGCTACTTGGCTCTTGCCACTATCTGAAGGAGAATGCTAATCACAAGAAAGTATGATGCCTTAGGTCATGCTTTGCTTTGGTGGGTGCTGTCAAGCAAATTGGAAGAACCTGCTCTTATTTGTCCTACAGCAGTTCCCTTGGTGGGTAACAGAGAACACCAGTGTGTAGTGGTTCTTTGTACCTCTCTTCCTGTCACTTAACGTGCAACATTTTTACCTCAGGGAAAATGTGTTCACTTGGTTTTTGTTTTGGTGCTTTTGTACTGTGGGGAGTTGTCAGGGGACAGAGGAGAGGAACATAGACACATTTCTTTGTAGTTGTGGTTCCCTTCCTCTGTGCCTGTTCCTCTATCACCCCTCTTGCTGCAGCAGTGTTGTATCCAAAGAAAATCCCAGTGAAAGTCACATTCACCAGCTGCTGTTGGGACAGGGATTTTATGGCTTGCCAGCCCTGTGTCAGCCTCTTGAATTCCTGTGCTGCATTCCAGGTGCCTAAAGTGATTTCATGCCTCTTCCACCAAGGACAAATGAGAACAGGGAATTGGTGTGTGCCTATGGAATAAATAAACTTCCCTAACAATCTCTCAGATGCCTGCATCTGCCTTTCTGTTTTCCAAGGAGAGCTGCACCAGGGAAGTGTAAATACAAGCCTGTTCCAATGAAAACAGAGAGCAAACGGATACCATTTCTTACATGAGCAAGTAAGTTGTCAGGCTTTGATTTTAATGAGAAGAAAAACATATACATTATCTTACAGGCATGTGATTGAAACCTTCAGGAGTCTTAACAACTACAGCACTGAGCAGGAGCATTCCTGAAGGTTGGTTATCACATTTATGTGATAATCAAACACAGCTTCTGCTGTCTAGTTGATGCTGTGCCTTTGCTTAACCCCAGCCCCTGATTACTTTTTCCCCCTAAGTTTTCAATCTTCCTTTTTCCAAGCTGCATTCTGCCCCCATGCAGCTGGGGCAGGAGTTACATCTTGAGTAGAAACCAATGTTTAGCAAGTTGCTATTATTTTGTCTGGGATTTCCAGATATTAGTGTATTATGAACAATTAATATTGTTAAGTCTACTAGAGAAGTGTGCAAGGTTTTATTATATTCTGTCTGGAAGTAATTTTCCTTAAATACACATTCCTAATTTCTAAAGTCAATAATTTTATTTCCAAGAAAAACAAGGGTCTTTTGATGGAAGAAGAGAGGTTTATAGTATGCATTTCTTCTTGCATAATTTCAGCTTTTTTAATTGACTATAGGTCTAATAAGTGTTTCTCTCAGTCATATCTCTGAATAAGCCTTTTGCCTTAAAGCAGGAAGGCTGAACCATGTTAATTACCTTACTCAGAGACTGTCCTTGAGCTGCGAAATGAACCTTCAAGAACCATGCCTTCAAAAAAACCTTCTACCCTCACTGCAGCCAACCCAAGAGTTTCTTCTAACAAAGCAAAAAAGACCACATCCACCAAAGTAAAAGCATCAACAGGAAAACCAGCTCCATCTGGTAGAGACAGGGAATCAAAGCTGAGGCTAAACCTCACAAGGGAGAGAAGACTGGACACAACTCCAGAACTGCACCAGCACCACCTTTGCCAAAAAAGAAGAGCTCCCACCTAGCCAGAATCAAGGAGGTTCTTCCAAAGAAAGCAGCACTACCTGAGGGAAAAGTGGAGAAGACAAGCAAAATACCTTTTAAAGCTCAGTGTTGTCCCAGAAAAAGCAAGCAGCTTATAAAATGGTGAAACAAAAGTGTTGAATAGTGACCAAATGAAAGAGATTTTGGCTGACTTGTTATGGTGTGCTCCCAGGTGTGTCCCTATTAATGGCAGTGTTAGCAGTCTCTACATATGTTCTATTAAACATTAAACTTTAACAGCACCAGCTTCCAAGTCCTGCTGTGATGTCTTTTTCTGACATAAGCGGTTATGAGAGCCTGTGGTAGACATTCTGGTAAGATTTCTATGTGTATGACTGTCTAATAAATCTGACTCTAAATTTCAGGACTTTAATCTTCTGTTGAAGAATATGGAATAGATATGTTGATTACCCCACCTTTTTAAAATTTTTTTTGGTCATTTAGCTGAAAAGTGTGTTTCAAGAGTAGTTGTCTTCCAGACAATGAAGTTAGATTTTATTTTTTGAAGGAGGACAGCTAAGATACTCAGAGGGCTGGAGCACTTCTACTATGAGAATCGGGGTTGTTCAGCCTGGAAAAGAGAAGGCTCCAGGGAAATCTTACAGCAGCATTGTAGACCCTGAAGGAGGCCCACAAGAAAGCTGGAGATGGACTTTTTACAAGGGCAGGTAGTGACAGGACAAGGGCAAAAGGCTTCAAACTGACAGAGGGGAGGTTTAGATTAAATATTACGAAGAAAATCTTCACTGTGAGGGCAGTGAGGCTCTGGCAAAGGTTGCCCAGAGAAGTTGTGGATGTCCCATCCATGGAAGTGTTCAAAGCCAGGTTGGATGGGGCTCTGAGCAACGTGGTGGAAGGTGTCCCTTACCATGGCATGGGCTTGGAATGTGATGACCTTTAAAGTCCCTTCTAGCCTAAGTTATACTATGAATATTTTTTCAAGGAATATTTTTTCACCTGCAGCTTTCATAGGGTCCAGTAAGGGCTGGAAATGTCCAGCAACTCTGAAACACCAACACAGTCACAGCACTAGAAGCCAATCAAAGCCCCCAAAACCTGGCGTTAGAGCCAAGCCACGGGCTGGAACCATCCTGCGACTCCAGATTCTACGAGGTGGATAACCCCGCGTAGAACAACTCGGCGCCGTAACAACCTCGGCGTTCAGATCCAGGAAATGATTGATTTGGGAAGCGGAGCTGGGACCGCCCTTGCGCTCCCGCTCCCGGAGGCAGCCGAGCCCACGTCAGTTTGGAGCTCCGACGTTTCGCTCGTCTCCCACCGCCGCCCTCTGCAGGCGCCGTGCCGGGATGCAAAAGGCGATCCCCGCCGCCCGCTCTTCCCGGAACCCCCCAGCTCGTTTAGGGAAGAAACGATAATTAAATAAAATACAAGTACGAAAACCTCAGGAGGCCCCAGCGAGGATCGAACTCGCGACCCCTGGTTTACAAGACCAGTGCTCTAACCACTGAGCTATGGAGCCACACGGCGTATAGTTAAGTGCCGACTAGTCCTGTGCCTGTGCGATGCAGGCTCCCCCCCGCGGGGCTGCGGAGTCCCTGCCTCCGTCAGGGCTGGGCCCGGGGCAGCCCGTCTGTGGGCGCCGCACCTGCGACACCCCCGGGCCTGAGCTGGGCCTCTGGAGGTCCTCTGGGGAAAAGCTGCCCTTGGCGGGGGAGGGAATCCAGCTCCAGCGCCCCCTCGCCCTCGGCGTTACCCGAGGGTGACAGGGGGCCTTTCCCGTCGGCGGGAATGAGCGGCGGGCGCGCCTACCGCGGACTGAGGGTGGACGTGCCTCGGAGAGGGGATCGGTGACACAGGGGAGAATGCTCCCGCTTCTCCCGGCCATCCCCCACGCTGAGAGCGAGGGAGCAGCCGCTGCCTGAGTCTAGGTTTTGGGAGGTAAGACTGCTCAACACCTGGTTTTGTGCGGAATGGGGAGATAGTCACTTTAAGCAGATAGCTCCGTGTTGTAATTCTCCTCAGCTTTTGTGAAATCACTGTTGCACAAAAACTGGTTTAACTCTCGCAGATAAATCACACGTCTCGTTTGACTGGGGTATGAACCCGACAGCAAGACAGGAAGTGTGGAGCCTTCATTTTTCGATTTTTACTATGGAAGTTTGAAGTAATTTGAGGATTTTTCCCCTTTTCTTTGCACGAAAGAACCAATCTGTCACATGTTCCATGAAAGCTTAGGTGAAGGTGAGAAGGTGGGCTGTGCAAAGGAAGCGGAGAGACTGTGGAGTTACAAATCCAGCAGCTCTGCTCTACACCAGTCATGTTCTAGAAAAGCAGACATGATTTGCTGGGTGCATGCCTCAAGCTGTGTGTGACCAAAAGTAAAGCTCCTTGAAATGAGAATAGACAGAAAAAGCTGCATTAAGGAACTAAAGACCTTTCATCCGTCCCACACTCCACAAATCATGAACTAGGTCAATTTCCTCTTTTTTTTTTTTTTTTTTTCCTCTTGAGTTTTATTTCACCTTCTCTTTAGAAATGGATATGATCTCTGTGGACAAACTAGATCAGTTCTGGTGAACTCTGTCTTGTTGTTTATGTAAGGCACTAAAATTACTTTGAAATATCTGCTTTTGACCTCTAATGTGGCAGCTGATAAATTCATGAAGTTTCACATTTCTTTGGATGCTGTTTTTCCCCTTTCCTTTGAAGACAGTGACTCTTTAGAGGAACTATAGCTCTTCCAAAGAGGGCTAAAATGTCTCTGTAGTGAGTGTTCTGCTAATGCCTTAGGGAACTGGAGTATATGCATAGATTGTTTTATAATCTTCAAGTAGGCAGGAGCAGAACTGTCTTACACTTTTCATACTATAAGACAAGCCTACCTTCATCAGCCCAACACAGCTGAGCAGCAGGGTAAGATGTATTCTGAGAGAAGAGCAGTATTGAAATAAGTTTTCTTTGATAACATGGCTACCTGCCACTATTGGGCTTTTAAACTTAGGTGTTTTGATCTAACTGTTGTGATTGCCCTGCTTCTAGATGCCTTTTGCTGCCGGCTGAGAGCTCCCTACAGGTGGGCTGCACTTGAAGGGCTGTGTCTGAGTGTTTCTTAGTCAGACGGCCTGGGTGGGATTCAGAAGGTGTGGTGGTGGTACTACTACGCTATCAGTAAGCCCCTTGGCTTCTCTTTGTAATGAAAATGAGGAAATGAGACACTTCCGGGATGTAATTCATCCCACCTGAAGGTAAACCTCTACAAAAAGTCATCCGAGTCCTGGTCTAGAGGTGCCTGTTCCTCAGCTGGCTGTGAAGGGAGTCGATGCAGCCTTCACAGGAACTTCCCCAGCCTCAGTTATAAATGGTAGTTTAGTGGAAATACCACAGCAGGTTATTTCTTCCAATTTTTAAAATCTTGTTTTAGCTCATGTTTTGTATCTAGTGTTTCAAAGTGGATAATTCCTGTGGAATATGAAAAGCAATTATTTTTCTAAGGATTGATTGGGTCAAAACTGTAGAACTACATCTAAAGAAGACTCTATGATTCTTTCTGCAGCTAGACCCACACACATGGGAGAATTAAGCATTTAAGCAATAAATTTAAGCCTGTCTAGTCTGCTGTTCATGACTGTTGAAAGCCACTAGGTGGAACCTAAGGACTGCATCAAAAGATTAGGAAAATCATTTTAACAGACTTTAAATGCTGAAAAGAGTGAATTTTTACCGTGCAAGTTTTAATGAAAGATCTGTAGGATGACTGACCTTTAAAGGTGTGCCAGACATCTTAAGATGATATATACTCTCTAAAATTTCTTCTCTAGGCCCAGACCGAGCACCAAGCTAGGGTGGTTAGTGTAAGAATAGGTGGAGTCACTGGACAAGTCAGTGTTTAATTAACCCTGTGTTAACCCACAGATGTCACCTGTGCTGCTGTGAGTTTTTGTCCATCTCGTTAAGCTCAGTAAGCTAATCCCAAGCACATTCCATGATTTTACTGCCATATCTTTCATTCAGGGGAAACTAAAGCAATGACTCTTCAGACAGTTAGTCCAAGGAAATTAATGGAAATCCTAGGAAATCCTTGGAAATTCTCGTGCACTGCTGTAATCGCTTTTACAAACTCCTTTGCCTTGACTGCCACCCAGTTCCCTGCTGTGTTCAGTTTCACTGGTGTTTCACAGGGTTCGGTTCTTTACTGCACAAAGCAGCTTTGGCCTGCAATAGTGTAAAATAAATAGCAGCCAATGTTTCCTCTGCAGATCTGGCCTACCTCCTAACAGGTTGTCAGGCTTGCCCACCTTTGTCCTCCACGCATCTGACTCTGTGTCCTGGGGGAAGGTTGGTGCAGCTGGGACTATCTCAGCAGAGGTACAGATCAGCAAAACTGGCATGCTTGGGTTTCCTTTTTAACCTCTGGGAGAAAGGAATTGCAGCACAGCTTCAGTCTTCATGTAAAATGGGACATTCTGTGGGTTTTAATTGTTTGACAGGTTCAGCACTGTTGGTTTTCTTTCTTAAAGAAACTGTAGTAACCTAAAGATATCTGAGTTTAGTGCAATTCATTTTAGTTGGCAAATGCTGGTGGATTACTTTGTCTTGTGTAAATACAAGGGTTTTTTGAATAGAATATTATGAAAATCAGGGAAACACTTCCTGCTGATTTTGGGTAGCTTTTGGAGGCAATCCATGAGGTATTTTAGGCATGTAATAATCTCAACATTTTGTTCAAGCCTGCCTTGTTTTCTGAATGTGAACCTTTCCAAGTCTTGTTTGGCTGAAATGTGCCTCAGGAAGTATCATGTGATTTTGCCGTTTTGACCCAATCAAGCCTTATAGAAAAATCATTGCTTTTCACATTATACAGGAATGATCCACTTGTCTTTGAAACATGGCATACAAACCATGAGTTAGAACAAGATTTTTAAAACAGAAGAAATAACTTGCTGTGGTATTTCCACTAACAATTACCATGTATGACAGAGGCTGAGGAAGTTGCTGTGAAGGCTCTTTCCAGGTTTTAGTTTGTGCATGGCTTGTGCTCCTACTCCAAAGTAGCATGAGAGATTCTGGGGTGCACCCTTCCTCTTCCCTGAACCTCTGCTTTCCATGGGAAAGAAGTTCAAACATGCAACAGATACAGTGTCCTTCCAAAAACAGTTTGACAGGCTCAGTGCTCTTTTTGGACAAACATCCATTACCACATACAAAAAAAAATCTTGCCTTTTTAACAGTATTTTTTTGTGGCTTTGAAGAGAGAAAGGGATTTATGTTTCTGTGGAAATTTAGTTTGTTTTGTTCCTCGAAAAGGTGACAGAGCAGACAAGGGAATGTAAAGACAGTAAGAATCCCCTCATCTCTATTTGCTTGTAGCTCTGTTCATGTAATAGGTGTCCATTCATGGAGTTCATGTTGTGGTGTCCATTGCTGGTATTTGAGCATCAATAGTTTTCTGTGGAGTAGCATCACGATTCCCAGGTCTTATTCCAGGGTAGCAGTTCAGTCTCTGCCTCATTGTCCTCTCCAACTGTGTTTTTTCTTAATGCAAGGGATCCAAACAGAAGAGATGTTGTCTTCAAATGCTTTATGATTTGGTCTTCCTGGAACTAGAAGGGAGTAATTGAATTTTCTTTGCTTCAGGGTTATTATTTCTCTGATCCAGACTAGATTTGAAGCTGTTCATTATAACAACTACACATACCCTATCCAGTGGCACTTAGCTGCCACACTGCACCCAGTGGTGGAGGTGGCAAAGCCATCTATTACAGGCAAAAGGGTCTGGAAAGTTTGATAGGAAGCAGCTTTTCATCAAATAAGATAAAATAAAAATATAAGTAACTCAGCAAAGTAGTGGAAAAGCAAAGTATATTTTATTCTAGTTTTAGAAAAAGAAAAGTCTTGTATTTGAAATAGAAAGATGCGTAGTTTTTTTATTTAAAGGGGAAGAAAAAAGCAGGAAATAGCTGACCCAGAGCTGTGCATGCACTGGTCAGTCTGTCACTACACGTGTATTTATGTCTGAATATTACACGTATATACACATGTAAACATGTTTGTGCGGTTGGGCAGAGTGTAAACACTTCTCCCCCTCTGGACATCACAGCCTGAAGGTCTCTGCTCAATTGTTGGTTTCCAAAAAGTGCAGGAATGTAAGGACCATCCCTGAGGCTGTAAATCCTCTCAGATTTGTCTAAAGTCACCTGGCAGATTTGAAGGTTGCTTGGGAGAGGGGTTGGCAACCAGGTGTGGTGGTTTGATCGGAAATGGGATTTCTGGGATGCTGTAGTCAAACCAATGGGTGCTCAGATTTTAATATTGGCACCTGATGAGGCCATTGGGACATTTGGACATGCCTCTGAGAACACACAGGGGTTAAAAACCAGAGCTGCGCCCCTGGCAAGCTCTCTTGGGACTTGGAGGCAAAGAGGTTGGATCTCCCTTCCCCGTTCAGCTGCTGCTGCTGGGCAGGGGAGGGGCAGCCCTGCAGTAGGCCTGGGCCTGGACAGAGGTGGGGGGTGAGGAGGCCCTTGAGGATGGAAGGATGGAAGAGCACCAAGAGACATCGGGCAGCCACCCGTCCCAGGGAAGAGAGAGAGGGAGAGCCGGTGTCTGAATTTGATAGCGGCCGGCCCAGGAGGAGAAGGGGGGAGTGCAGCGAGAAGGTGCCCGGCAGGGTAGGGTGGGAGTGCCGGAGCTCTGGGACAGGCAGAGACTGAAATTTTTAACCCTTTTCCTGCATGATAGAAACCTTGCAAGTGCTGATCCTCCTCGAGCTGAATCAGAAGAGAGATAAGAGATGAGATAAGAGGGGATGGGCCACGAGGGAAGTGGAGAAGACACTTGAGTGGGGGGGGAGA